AAGCCTTTCCTGAAAGAATAATCAAATGGGGATTGAGGTTCCATGTCTGTCATTGCAAATTGGGCGAAGGTGCTAGAAGCCGGATGAGCTGTGGAGGTGTTGGGAGGCTTCTCACTGTATCCATGACAGCAGCACAGTGTGGAAAAAGCTATGTGAAATTAAGCAATGAACAAGAGAAAAGGAAAGACTAAAAAAAAAAAAAAAAATCAAAAAGAGAGAGAGAGAGAGAATCATCTTCCTGTTTTTCTGTGATCCAATCTTGTTTGTTTGTTTTTGTGTCTATGTGTGTGATCTAGCCCTTACTAGGACCTTACCCCAGGGCACACTCTTCCCCCGATAGTGTTTTTCCCATTGATGTATGAGAGTCAGTGACTTGTGTAGATTTTCAGGCAACTCTCTTTGTACATTCTTAGAAGAGCAAATGCTTACCCATGCCTCTTTCTGAAGTATCTTTAATCTATTCTAAAAATTAACCTGATTTGCAGGGTAAGTTAGCCGAGCAAGTTATTAGTGCAGTTTGTCATTTATAGCCAGACTACTTTCAAAATGGATTCTCTGTTGCAACTGATTATTCACTGACAAATTATTTAATGTGTGTGGGAGGAACTTATTCAGCTGTTACACTTATTAGACAAAATTTAATGTTCTTCATCCTAGAATTAGTAAGTTGCTTCCCCTCTACAATATAACTCAGAAAAGACAGTGTTTCCTTCACTGTAGTCAAAACTGTGATTGTCTAAACGCAACGTATGTTTTCACCTTCCTGCAGTTGCAACTGCAGATCCCTTTGTCCACACCTGGTCTGACAAATGCCTACTGCTTCTTCACCCTAGGGTGAGCCCTGTTTCCTTCTGAAGCTTAGGGGTTCACTCCAGAAGAGCTTAAAGAGCGCTGACCCTCGGTAAGTGCTGGGGCTGTGTGATGTGCCCGCGAGGACGCAGGTGCGGGGACAGCCACCGCAACCGGGGAACCAAAGAAAAGGGGGTGACCCCGAGCAGGTGTCCAAGTGCTGGTCCGCTGGGAGCGGGCGCGCTTTTCCACCAGGAGCCGTTTGATGGGAAGGAAGGACACACTGATTTAAAAGCAGGTTTATTTCACAGCACCGGAGGAGGTTGGAGGAGGGCGCGGAAGATCCGTGCCCGCTGGGACAGGGCCGGGCACGGCCGCCCGCCCGCCCGCAGCCTGCGGAGTGCGCTGGGACCGGCTGCTGCGCTGGAGCCCGCGGGGCCTCCGCGTCTCCAGGTCGCGCCCGGGGCGG